CGGCTGGGGGACCCGTTTTTTGCCTGTCTTACTCTTTAAGCGTTGCTCCGCTTCTCGCCTCGCCTGTGTCTCCCACAGTCTGTCCGTTGCACGCTTGCAGGCCTTCATAGCCGCCAGTAATTTCCAGCCTGAGGAACCATGGATTCGTTCTCGCACGACGATGCTATTGCCTTCCTCTCCGAGCTAGGGGTAGAGGCCCTCTCGAGTCCGGGCCTTGTGGAAAACGTCCAGCTGTCCGTCAGTCGCAACACCAGCCAATTCAAAGGGCAGCGTCTTTTAGGTCAGCCGTGCGGCCCACCTACCGCAGCCCCCGAAGACTTACCAGCCCCCAAACGGCCCGCACCGGGCCCCGTCCCTGCCCGTCGGCCAAACCTGGACCCCGCACCAGTTCCGGCAAGTCTGGCCACGCATCGGAAACAACCAGCCCGCCCCGCGGTGGCGCCAGAAGGTGTGAAGGTTGAGGCCCCGGGTGAATTCTGGAAGGATAAAGGGGAGTTTTCTAGTCCACTTTCGACAACACCTCGGGATCTCGGTCAACTCCAGTAGCGGGTCCGCCTTCCGTGCCGCCCCAGATGAGGGGACGCCTCTCGGGCAAGAAAGGCGCTTGGAAGGCTTGGGTTGTGAACACGCTGGTCATCTCGTGGATCACGTCGGGTTTCCCACTCCGTTGGGTCTCCAGCCCCCCCCCCCCCAGCACTCCGGCCGCAATCACGCTTCGGCAACCGCCAACGCCGCGTTCGTGGACAAAGCCGTAGCAGATCTGGTGGCGTCGGGCACGGCCCGCATATGGCCGTCGCAGCCCCGCGTGGTTTGCCCGTTGGGGGTCGTGCAGCAGGCAACTAAGCTCCGGCTTATTTGGGACGGCAGGCCGGTAATTGATTACTTGCACGTCCCCTCCTTCCGCTACGAAGACTTGAAGGCGGTTCCTGGTTGGCTACTCCCAGGCGATTATCTTTTTACTTTGGACCTTAAAAGCGGCTATCATCACCTCGATATCGATCCCAGGTTCTGGGAATATCTCGGCTTCTGCTGGAGAGGGGTCTTCTATGTCTTCACACAACTGCCTTTCGGCCTCGCTTCCGCTTGCTGGGCGTTCACGAAGCTCATGCGAGAGGTCATGCACCCCTGGCGCAAACGCGGCTGGCGATGCTCGGGCTACATAGACGATCAGGTTCACGCAGACCAGAACGCCGATAACTTGGTCCGGCGCAGGGCCGAAGTGGTTGCTCAGTTGGAGACGCTCGGTTTCCTGGTCAATAAAGAGAAATCTATGCTGGGGGCCGTGCAGCATCGCATTCGTTACTTGGGCATGCTTATCGATACCAAGGACGGCGTTTTCATCGTGCCAGGCAACAAGCGGGACCGCCTCTTATCTCAGATCAACGGCGTGCTCACGGCGCGGCGCTCGACCGCCCGCCTATTGGCATCCATTAAAGGCCAACTCCTGGCCATGTCTTGGGCCTTCGGGCCTTGGGCCCGGCTGCGCACCCGAGCTCTCGGTCAACTTATTGAAACTCGGCAGACCTGGGAAACCCATCTCTCCCTCTCTGACGACGCGCGGGAGGAGCTGTCTTTCTGGGAGTCGTCCTTTGATCGGTTTAACGGCCGACGGCACCTGTGGGTTCCGTCCGTGGTGCATTCCCTCATTTTTTGCGACGCCGCAGGCAAATCCTCCGAGTCCCTCGGAGGTTGGGGGGCCTGGACCATCCTCAATGGCCAGTTAGCGCCAGCGCGTGGCGAGTGGACGCCCGACGTCAGCGCTATGGGGTCTACCCCGCAGGAACTCCAGGCCATTCTGAACGCGTTTCGATCTTTCGATAGCCCAGCCGGTCTATCTGGTCAGTCGGTTAAGGTCGTCACCGACAACCTTAATGCAGCGAATGTCGTCAACAAGGGCTCCGCTAAAGCGGACAACTCCCACAAGGTCGCCTGCGAGCTGCACAGCTATTGTTTCGAGCAGGATATCCGCTTGCAAGCGGAGTGGCGACCCCGCGGCCAGAACCAGCTCGCCGATGCGCTTTCGAAACTGCAAGACCCTGACGACTGGATGCTGAAGCCCAGCATATTCCGCAGGCTTCACGACACCTGGGGCCCCTTCGACATCGACCTATTTGCGTCCCACGCCACTTTCCAGCTCCCCGTGTACTATTCCCGCTATTTCACTCGAACGACGTCTGGAGTCGACGCGTTCAGGTCCTCATGGGGGCGCCGGTGCTGGGCGAACCCGCCCTTTCACCTCCTCCTCAGGGTACTGCAGCACGCCGAGGCCTGCCAGTCCCGGCTTTGCCTTGTCGCGCCTTTCTGGCCTACTCGCGACTGGTGGCCTTTTATCACGGCCGACGGGGTCTGGTTCAAACCTTTCGCAAGTGGAGTTCGCTTGCTCGGCCGGGCCGCGGATGTCTTCCTGGCCCGCACCTCGGGGTCCCCCAGCCCAAAGGCGCTTCCCGCTGGTCCACCTTGGCCCTTCTGGTCGACTTCTCGGCCTCTAACATCAACCGTATCCGTGTTCCCGCTGATCCGTTCGCACCCCTCGCACAGACTTAGATGCCCGGGCTGAGGCTCTTTTGGTCACTCTTGGCGCGGAGGTGGACGCGGAGCTCTCCACCTTGGCGACGCAGTTTGCCCAAGTGGCCGGTCAGACACTCGCCCCGCGGACGTCCAATGATTACGCAGATCTCGGATTGCGGTCTTGGGAACCCTTCCGCGAGTGGTGGGTGGCCAGGCGACTGCCCGGAAGCATCTATGACACCCCAGGTGAGGCGGTGGCGCTCTATCTGCTCTCCCCGCTGAACTCGTCCAAGGACGATAAGGTGGGGCCTGGACGGGTTCGTACAGCGAGTGCAGCAATCAGCTCCTACTTCTGCCTAGCCGGCAGAGCGCCCCCTACAGAGCTCCCTGCCCGCAGCATCGTCCGCGACCTCGCCGAAAAGCAACTCCAAGGCCGTAAGCTGGAACGCGACGCCCTGGAGCCGGTGGACGTCACGGTGCTGGCCCGGCTGATTGGTGGGCCAGAGCCGCCCCTTGACCAGCTGATGACCGTTACGGCCGTCGTGGTCATGTTTGCGGGGTTCTTTCGGTTCGACGATGCTGCGGAGATAAGCGTTCACGAGGACCTTCTGGTTATCACGGCAACTGGGATGGATGTTTTCATCCCTCGATCCAAGACCGATCAGCAGAGACAGGATCACTGGGTTCCCATCGCCCGCGTCGGCGGTGCCGCTTGCCCCGTGGGCCTGACGGAGCGCCTCCTCACCCTAGGACGGTACAAACGCCGCCCAGACACGCCGGACGAGGACGTCGGGCCCCTTTTGCGACCGGTCCAGTGCAGTGATTTTTTTTACATTTAGGGGGGGTCTCAATTTATTCCAACCTAAGTAACAAAGTTGCTAGCGTCGCCGTTCTGTATTCCTTAAGAGTGGGGCGCTGG